CGTGCAGGCCGTCATGTGGTTTCGGCTGGCGGCCGGCGTGTCGCGCGACGAGCGCGAGCCGTTCGCGCGCGCCTACTGCTGGCTCACGGCTGGTACCCGTTCCACGCCATCGGCGCGTCGCTGCTGGCGCTGCCGGCGGCGCTGGTGTTCGCCGCCTGGCCGTGCGCCGTCTGGCGCGCTGGCGCGGCGACTGCAGCCGCGCCGTCGAGCAGTACCTGCTCGCGCTGCTCGTCGGCCTGGTGCACTTCTGCAACTTCACTCAGCTCAACTGCTGGCTGAAGAGCGGGGTGGCGTCGGCGGCGGCGTTGGCGGCCGTGCTGGCGGCGCTGGCCGGCTGCGAGTGCGCGACGCTGCCGGTGGCCGACCTGGCGGCCGCCGTGGCCGCCGCCGTCACGCTCGTCTGGATCCTGAACCGGGAGTTCGAGATCAGCTACCGACTGGGATTCTGCGTGAACCTGATGGCGGCGCGCGACAAGGCCGAGGTGCAGCGGCTGAAGCACCAGGCCGACTCGCTGCTGCACAACATCATTCCCGAGCACGTGGCCGATGTGCTCAAGACCAAGGCGAAGTACTCGGAGAACCACCACGACGTGGCTGTCGTGTTCGCCAGCATCATCAACTTCAACGACCTGTACGACGAGACCTACCACGGCGGCAAGGAGTACCTGCGCGTGCTCAACGAGATCATCGGCGACATGGACGACCTCCTCAAGAAGTACCCGAGCGTGGAGAAGATCAAGACAATCGGCAGCACGTACATGGCCGTGTCTGGCCTGAATCCCAGCCAGCGGCGCCACACTGACCCACCCGACAGACACCTGATCGAGCTGATGGAGTTCGCCGTTGACCTGCAGCAGACCGTGGACGCCTTCAACGTGTCGCTGTTCGAGTTCGCGATGGAGCTGCGCATCGGCTACAACATTGGCGACGTCACCTCGGGCGTGATCGGCACGACCAAGCTGTACTTCGACATCTGGGGCGACACGGTCACATGGCCAGTCGCATGGACTCCACCGGCGTGCCGGGTCGCATACAGACCACGCAGCGTTGCGCCCAGCTGCTGGCGCATCGCTTCCAGTTCGAGCGGCGCGGTGAGGTGTACGTCAAGGGCAAGGACCTCGTGGTGACTTACTTCCTCAAGAGCGACGGGCCTGGCGGCGCCGTCAGCTAGGGCTCGGCCCGTCTGTGATGTTCGACATGTCGGCTCGCAGTGTTACGCTTCTCCATAGGCCGCGCCGGCGCCGGGCGGCGATGACCCGACCCGTAGCTAGCTAGCGGTGAATCATCGGTGGCAACTATTTACACGGAAAGTTTGCCGGTGAGAGCTTATTCATTGCCGCCGGCGGCCGGCACCGCCCCTGTGATGCATTCCCGAAAGCCGCCTGGCGGCAGCACCGTCGCGCTTGTATTCAGGCTCGCTAATAAACCAGATACTGCTCTTTGCGGGCAGGGGCTGGCGCGCCCCCGGGGGCGGCGGAGGGCCCGGAGGTCCCGCCCCCGGGAGGCGGCGGCGGCGCCCGGCGCTGCGCGCCTGCCGAAGGCGGCGCTCTCAGAAGCAATAACACGAATTGATGCGACGTGCGACGGCTATATTTCCCGCGTGATAGCTGATCTGAAGCGACGGCCGAGTGCTCGCGTGCACTCTGTGCTTGGGTGCACATCGGTGCGGCGCTCCGCGCCCGGTATTGATCAGCCGCCTCCTCCGCCGGCGGCGAGCGCAGCGTGGGCTGGAGGGATGCGGACCGGGCCGATACTCGGCGGGGCTGAGCTGCCAGGTCCCGCGACGGCGAGGCGGGGAGGGGCGCGACTGTCGTGGCGGACGGAGTTCAGGACCGCGCGTGACTTTCGGGCCGTGTCGTGCCAGGGGCTGCTGCATACATAGCCGGGAGGTGTGGGAGGTCAGTTCTGGGCTCAGAGTGGGCGACACGCGGGGCCGCGCTACGTCAAGCGGTTTGGGACTCTGTCCTGCCAGGTCGAACCTATGCTATGACACCGAGTGTCGCGGAGCTAGCGGCTGCGCTGCATAGACCAATGACTAGAAAGGCTAGGCCTGTAAGTCGGGTCTCCTCCTCAGAGCGCGCGTCAGGAATCGCATCACGAATTAGCGGCGATGAGGCGAAAATAGACTCCAGCGACCTTGTCTCACGATCCGGCCGGTGAGACGGCGGGAGACAACCCAACGGCGGGTCGTGTTGGTGCCCCTTCGCCCGTTGCTGCCGCTGGGGTCCGCGGCGGCGCAGGCAGGAGACGTCCGGGCCGAGCTGGGCCCGGGTCGTGTTGGTGTGTCTTCGCCCGTCACCGCCGCTGGGGTCTACGGCGTTTGCCCGGGGTTGCTCGGCACCGGCTGAGTCACGGCCGGACTTGGGAGCCGCTGGGCACCGGTCGGGTCACAGGGTGCGGGGCGCAGGCTCCGGCGGCGGGTCTGTGTCGTCACCGTCGAGCAGACCTGACGCGCGCCGGCCGGAAGCCCCTCGGCCCTGGCCCGCTAGGTACTTGTCGGCCACCTGCAGCGGTGGCGCGAGGTCAGGCGAATAGGACATTAGGGCATGGAGATGAGGGGTTATTGTCTCGGAGATGAGGGGTCGCTCTCACGGAGATGAGTGGTCGCCCTCACAGAGATGAGGGGTCTCACGGAGATGAGGGGTCGCTCTCACGGAGATGAGGGGAAGCTCTCACGAAGATGAGGGTCACTCTCACGAGATGAGGGGTCACTCCCACGGAGTGACGAGGAAGTTCATGACGTGGATTAGATCTCAAACATGCGCCCATGTCAGGACAAGACTAGCTCCCCAATGCACCAACGATGTCAGGTCGTGGTACGTGGTGCGGCCATGAGCAAGAGTCGCTGGCGAGGCCGGTATGATAGGCACGACATAATATTAAGTTTCCTGGACCAAAATTTGGCGCAAATTTGGCCAATAACTGATGTCCGA